ATCCCTTTCTAACTCCTCACAGTCCTCTTTGGACTTACAAAATTATTCAAGCTAGTTATCATCTGAAAATTTTGCCACTTCACTGTTCAACCCATTTTCCAGATCTTTAATGAATATGCTAAACAGCATGGGGTCCCAGTACAGATTCTTGGGGGACCCCACTGTTCACCTCTCTCCATTGTGAAAAAAATGACCATTTATTCCTACCCTTTGTTTCCTGCCTGGCAACCAATTATTGATCCATGAGAGGACCTTCCCTCTTTGGCCATGGCTACTTAGTTTCCTTAAGACCCTTGATGCGGGACCATGTCAAAGGCTTTCTGAAAATCCAAGTACACTATATTGCCTGGCTTGCCCTTATCACTTGCTTGTTGACTACATCAGAGGATTTGGCGAAGCATGACTTCCCTTTACAAAAACTATATTGATTCTTCCCCAACAAATTGTGTTCATCTATGTGTCTGATAATTCTGTCCCTGGTATTACTATAATTTCTACCAATTTGCCAGTACTAAAATTAGACTTACCAGCCTGTAATTGCCAGAATATTCCCCAGAGCCCTTTTCAAAAAATCAGCATTAAATTAGCTACCTTCCAGTCACCTGGTTCAGACGCTGATTTCAGTGATAGGTCGCATACCAGTTAGTTGTTCTGCAATTTCATATTTGATTTCCTTCAGAACTCTCAGATGAACACGATCTGGTCCTGGTGACTTACTACTGTTTATCTTATTGATTTGCTCTAAATCCTCTTCTACTGACACATCCATTTGTGTACATCAGTATTTCAGATTTGTTACCCACATCAGAGCTATTCCTGTGGTTATCTCCCCCTCATCCTCTGCAGTAAAGGCCCATACAAATTATGAATTTAGCTTTTCTGTGATGGCTTTTGAGTGCCCTTTGAATACCTTTATCATCTAGTGGGCCTCCTACCTGTTTGGCAGGCTTCCCCCTTCTGATATACATACAATTTTTACTGTTAGTTTTTGCATCTATAACGAGTTGCTTCTCAAATGCTTTCTTGGCCTGCCTTATTGCACTTTTCCAGTTTACTTGCCAGAGTCTTGCCCTAACCCTTCCTATTTTCCTCATTAGGATTTGACTTCCACATTTAGAGGATGTCTTTTTGCCTCTAATGGCCTCCATTACAGCTATGGTGGCTTTCTTTTGGTCCTCCAACTGTCTTTTTTGATTTGAAGTATACATTTAGTCTGAGCCTCTATTATGGTGTTTTAAGTAGTCTGCATGCGCTTGCATGCATTTTACCCTTGTGAATGCTCTTTTTAATTTCCCTCTAACTAGTGTCCTCATTCTTATCTAGGTCCCATTTTTAATATTAAATGTTACTGTGATTTTTTTTATTGTTTTTTTTTAATATTTCCCCCCCCCCCTACAGTATGTTGCATTTAATTAGATTATGGTCCCTATTACCAAGTTGCTCAGCTAAAGTTACCTCCTGGATCAGATCCTGTGCCTCACTTAGAACTAAATCAAGAATTGCCTAGCTGCTCCAAGAAGCAGTCATTTGTAGCGTCTAGAAATTTTATCTCTGCATCACATCCAGAGGTGACATGTTCCCAATCACTATGGGGATAGTTGAAATCACCCATTATTATTACACTGTCTGCTTTTGTAGCCTCTCTACCCTTCCTTAGCATTTCACTATAACCATCCTAATCCTGAGCTGGATAGTATATTTCTGTTGTATTTTATTATTCAAGTATGGCATTTCTAGCCATAGTGATTCAGTGGTATAGTTGTATTCATTTAAGATTTTCACTTTATTTGATGCTCTGCTTTTTTTTCCAAACATATAGTGCCACTTACTCAACCAACGTGACCTACTCTAAGTATCAGTCCTATATATTTTTTACCCTGGTATTACCATGCCCCATTGATTATCTTCATTCCACCAAGTTTCCATGATACAATTATATCAATGTCCTCATTTAATGCCAGGCACTCTAGTTCACCCATCTTAGTATTTAGACTTCTAGTTTTTGGAAGTAAGCCCTTGTACGTTTTGTCAATATTTAGTTGTTTGCCTTCATGTGGTATATTTAAATGGGACTTTTTTATGTTGACTGTTCCTCAGTAGCTAGCTCCTACCTGTACTTTATCAACTTCTTTCCTTTCCTCTACACAAGGATATAGAGTCTCACCTTTAATAAATTCTTCCCTACGGGATATCTCCACCCAAACTATGTACTCTTCTGCACTTGTTGGCTTTCCTCCAACCGTTTAGTTAAAAGAATTATCCTCTACAGCCTTTTAAATTTTACATGCCAGCAATCTGGTTCCATTTTGGTTTGGGGGGAGCACATCCTTCCTGTATAGGCTACTCCTTCTCCAAAAGGTTCCCCAGTTCCTAATAAACCTAAATCCTTCCTCCCTAAACCATCATCTCATCCACAGATTGAGACCCCCTCAGTTCTGCCTGTCTGTCTGGCCCTGCACATGGAACTGGAAGCATTTCAGAGAATGCTACCATGGAAGTCCTGGACTTCAATCTCTCCTCTAGCAGCCTAAATTTGGCATCCAGGATCTCAGTCCTACTTTTCTCTGTGTCACTGGTACCTACATGTACCATGACCATTGGTTCCTCCTCAGCACTACCTATAAGCCTATCCAGATGTCTCTGGAAGTCCACTCCTTCGCCCCCAGCAGGCAATTTACTACGTGGTTCTCCCAGTAGTTACAAACCCAACTATCTATATTTCTAATAATCAGATCCACCACTGCTATTGCCTGTCTCTTGCTAATTACTGGGGTCCCTGCCTGCTCCCCAGAGGGGTATCCTCAGTGCGAGAGGATATCATGAGATCATCTGGAAGGCGAGTCCCAACTATGGGATTGTTTCCCTCTGCTCCGGCTGGATGCTTTCCTGCCCCGAGACTTTCAAACTCCTTAACAGTGCAGGGGCTGTCAGACAGGAGGTGGCTTTGGTCTTTACTTAGCGCCAGATCTGCCTCTTGTCCATATCGATGAGTGCAGATTTATCTAGTGAAATGCTGATTTAATAAAAACACTTCCCTGTTTTATGACCTTGCCAGAACTCAGAGTTCCTGCATGTACAGTGTGCAAGGCACCCCTTCCGCCACGCCAGGCTTAGCGCACCCTCTTCTGGCAGGGACAGGGCCTTGGGTAAATGAGCTCCCTCTCCGGAGCATGTCTGCCTTCCCTCTTCAGGGTTTGTTTCTCAGAGCCTTCCCAGTAGGCCTCTGGGCAGGCCGGAGGAGTGCTCCTCTGCCAAACAAGGAGAACAAGTCTATAAAGCACCAAAACAAAAAGGGAATACCTTTCCCTGGCCCCCTCACTGGGGCAGGCCTTGTCCTGTCACTGGCCCCAGGGTGTCAGTCCTTCCCCTAAACAGGCACTGGGTTTTGGGTGTCTCCCCTATGGGGAGGAGCGCAGTCTCTCACGCTGGAGAAGCCTATCTCCCTGTTACCTCTAGCTTGCAGCAGTTTGTCTCTCCCCTCACTCTCACCAGGAGAGAGATTTTAACAGGTTTCAGGCAGCTCTTAATTGGACTCGGGTATCCCTAATTGACCTGAAGTTACCCCTTCCCAGTGTTGTGGAAAAACGACCACGCGTTGTGTTTGGATTAGAATTGCCTGAGGCCTTTTTATTTACATGCATGCACGGGGGGTACCAGTGAACTGGCAATCCCCCCGACTACAGATTTTTAAATAGCTGATATAGCATAAAACCACAACTAGATAATGCATACTTTCTTATTAACATTATTGCCATATTTAGAATATATTCCCCACAAAAGGGAATCAAGTATCAGAGGGGTAGCCGTGTTAGTCTGAATCTGTAAAAAGCAACAGAGGGTCCTGTGGCACCTTTAAGACTAACAGAAGTATTGGGAGCATAAGCTTTCGTGGGTAAGAACCTCACTTCTTCAGATGCAACCTCACTTCTCTTCTCCTTCACTTGCATCTGAAGAAGTGAGGTTCTTACCCACGAAAGCTTATGCTCCCAGTACTTCTGTTAGTCTCAAAGGTGCCACAGGACCCTCTGTTGCTTTTTACAAAAGGGAATGTAGCTTAGCAAGCTTTCCTGTTTTTTACAGTCTGCCCTTTTGCGGTTTTCAAGCTTTTCTGTTTTTTACAGTCTGCCCTTTTGTGGTTCCCAAGCTTCCCCCAAAACTGTTAATGAGCCATTATGAATCATAAGCCTTGTGATTATTGATAGTTCTGCTTTTGTACTTTTCCTTCATTTTGCCTCTAAGAACCCCTCTTCTCCAATAAACTTAACTAATGTTTAGGTCTGAACCAAAGTCCAGGCCTGAGCCAACTAAAGTTTAGGCCCTAGCAAAATTTTCCCCCACACCAGCTTGTCGGAAAAAGGGCCTTTAGCATTCTAGAACTAACATGCCTGTTTCCCCAGACCCTCCTGCAGCTGTCCGGCCTGACTTTGTCACAACAGCAATAGACATTGAAAAGGATGCAGAAGTGGAAATGAAAGTGCAGTGAACTATCTGACCTTGTACATTAGACAATGTGGGAATAAACTGAACTGGATTCAACCCTGGTGTAAGTGGGCGCAAACCCACTGAAGTTAGTGGAGCCTCACCTATTCCAGCGAGGTGGAGCGTGGCCCTCCAATGGCACAAACCTGCAAGGCTCTGAGCACTCCTGTGCAGTGTGGGGGACCTAGGGGGACCAAATGTCCCGATTTTATAGGGACAGTCCCAATTTTTGGGTCTTTTTCTTATATAGGCTCCTATTACCCCCACCCCCCACCCCCGTCCCGATTTTTCACACTTGCTGTCTGGTCACCCTAGGGGGACCTGTGCTCTGGCTAATTTCAGTGGGAGTCAAGAGAGCTCAGTGCATGGCCAAACTGAGCCCTACAAACACCGATGGCTTGGGGTTTCTTCCCCCCAGCCAGCACTTTTTAAAAACAGGCAGTGGTGTTGATGCTACTCTGTTTGTTAGTGATGTGGTTAACAGCCAGTTAACTAGCTTAGCGTCACAGGAGAAACAGCTCATCAAACTCTGCCTTTCTTCACTTGACGTTGGGTGGGATTTTACACAGTAGCACAGAAATCTAGCTCCAAAGGTTTGTGAAAATGCCCTGGACACCTGTTCTTCCAGCTGCGTTTTTGCTCTTCCTGCTTTTCCAGGGTACCCCAGCCCAGAAAGGTATGTAGTGAAGATTCAAGCTTTAACTTTGTTTTGGAATATCGTAGCTCCAGTGGCTCAGTCTGTTAAATCCAAATTTGGCTTGGGGTCCTTCTAAGCTGGGCAAGTGACCTGCTGTTCACAATGGCTGGGGAGTAACAACGGGTCCCCTAGAATTCCTTTCAACTAGTATTGAAGATGATTTAGCTACAAGTGTAGATAGAGCCACACCTTTTTCATCACTCTTACAGAAAACTTATTATCCACGAAATTCCACCAGGTTTCCACGGTTATATATAGGTGCTAAGAAACCCTAGCCTAGCTTGTTATTTATTTGCACACACACCTAGTTGGTGCCTGCAATTGTGGTATTTGCGCATACATTTTTGCAAGGCCTTTATGTTATGGAAAGCAAGGTCATGATGTTCTTTACCAAACTTGCTTGGAGAAGGACTTTATAACGTTGTTATTACCTGCAAATGTACTCTCTGGGTGTTAATAGATGTTATTATCAACCGCTGACTGGGGAGAGGTGGGTTGGTTTAAAAGGAAACAAAAGTTTCAGAAGTTTTCTGAAATTTTCTGAGACTGAATTTGGTATTTCCCGGCCCATTTCAACTATCGTAGGATTGTTTTGTGTGTCATAGTAGTTTTTAGACAAAAGAAAATACACTTCAGGTGATATATTTCAGCCAGCAACCGCAAGGATAAAACCCCAACAATGTCTAACAGAGATTTCTTGGAACCTTTTTAACTCTTCAGACCATTTGTTACAGTAGGACTCATACAACTAAAAATAATTTTTGTACAAATGATTTATTACTTTAAGTTCAGTTGCTTTTCTTCCCCTGCGGTATCTCTGTCTGTGCATAAAGAGGGAATATGTGATAGTGTGGGGGTGCTGCGAGATGAAGTATTTCTTACGGAGAGTTTGGAATAACTCAGTCACCCACATACATTGGAGCCAAAGAATGAATTCTGCGAATCAGTCCAATCAAGTGGCTATAGTATAAGAACTTTGTAGCACACACATTTTGTCAGTGCCACTTATTTTGCTTGTATCTTTGTAGTTCCCCCTCAACTTTCGCCCTTTGAAACATATTTGTATTATGGAAATAATGAAACCACTGGTATGGGTTGAGGAGTGTCATCCACAAGTGCAGAATATAGATTTCCACTGGTGGTGTTCTGATTAGAATTTGGGCCACTTTGCTTAATGATGAAATGCATCCTAGAATACGCGAGGAGCTGACTGAAGAGATATCTGAGCCATTAGCAATTATCTTTGAAAAGTCATGGAAGACGGGAGACATTCCAGAAGACTGGAAAAGGGCAAATATAGTGCCCATCTATAAAAAGGGAAATAAGGACAACCCGGTGTGATGGGGCAAGGCCAGATGGCTACAGTAAAGTAGTGAGGAACAGGTATGTTAGCCCCAGGCTAAACAAATCCCTGGTACCATGGTAACCAAATGGCAGTTGCTCCAGGTTAATCAAGACACCTGGGGCCAATTAAGATCCTTCTAGAAGGCAGTGGAGATAGCTAGATTGATTGGGAGACCTGAAGCCAATCAATGACTGGCTGGAACTAGTTAAAAGCCTCCCAGTTAGTCAGTGAGGTGTGGGTGCCAGGAGCTATAGGAGGGTGCTGGGCTGGGCTGGGCTGGGCTGGCCTGGCCTGGCCTGGCGGTAATTGTGAAGAAGATATTGAGTGAGGGGCTGCTGTAAGGCAGTGGCCCAGGGAATTGTACATGTCCTATTTCCAAAAAGTCAGCTTCCTTAGTTGCTAATTTTAGGGTCCCTGGGCTGGAGCCTGGAGTAGAGGGTGGGCCTGGGCCCCCCCTTCCCTTCCCTGATTAATCACTGATACTGGGAGACAACAGAGACTGTGCAAGGGAGGGTTGTTTCTCCTCACCTCCCTGGCTGGTTTATGATGAAAAGCCTGATAGCTTTCTTTGACAGGGTAATAAGCCTTGTGGATGGGGGAGGGAGGAAGTGGTTGATGTGGTATATCTTGACTTTAGTAAGGCTTTTGATACTGTCTTGCATGACCTTCTCATAAACAAACTAGGGAAATACTGATTATTTTTTATTGTTTTCTGAATGCCATCAGGATACTTAGTACTGTTCAAATGTAGTGGAGCACACACTCCGTGTTCCCAAGTGTTTGTTTATAATCTATGTTACTGATCTGAATCTTGCAGTACACAGTTCCTGTGGATTACTTTTGGATGTTTTATTATTATGGTGTGAAAGTCACTGGCAGCACATAAAACCCAAGCATTTAGCTGGAGTACCTGGAGGTGAAATCTACACCCCAATACAGGACCAAGGCCCTGGGCAGCTATCACAGCTCCTCCATTGCAGCTGCTACTTCAGTCCATTGCATGGAATAGTAGGTCGTCTGGACTTGTGTAAAGTCAGATCCGTGGCCCTCACCTGCCCAGTGGCAGCTCCCAACAAAACAGGAGGGGAAGCAGACCAGTGAGCAACCCCTGAAGATACTGGATGGGAGACATAAAGCCACTGGATCTCCCCTTGGAAGATAACTAAGATAAAGATGGAAGCCTGGGCCTGCTGATGGACAGGGGGGAAGTCTTGTGAGGAGAATGAGCAAATTTGTAGGGAAAGGCAGGATACGTCTGGATACACATTCACACATTCTGATTCCAAATGACCAGGTTCACCCCAGAGTGAGAGGTCTGAGCTGGTTTCAGGAACCCAGCAAAGGCAATGGAGATAAGCTTCCAAGATGGTCAGCGGAAGGGAAATGGCTTTTAAAAGAGACTTATTTGTTCACCTCTCACTTTTAGATAGGGTGTAAGGGTGCACCTTACCCGGCTATCCTCCAGGTGCAGCCCTGCCTCAGTTTCCTCTCTGTGGGGTGGAATCTGTTGTAATCGCTCACAAAATGACTCAAGTTCTAACTCAAAGCTTCCCCTCTTGGGCCTTGGTTTATCACTGTATAAAATATATCCCAACAGAAGACCCCATCCACCCACACCTCCTCAGGATACCACAGCTTTCCTCTGGGCTTGTAGATAGTCCTTCGCCCTTCCTAGACTACAGGATCTTCCATGGGAAGCTCCAGAGCCCAATCCATAGGGTGTGCAGATAACCCTCTTCTTCTCGTGTCAGGGTTCATAAGTCCCACCCCTAGCTGTCAGGTTCCAGACAGCTATTGCCCCTCCTCAGGCTCTTGCTTGGAGAGGCCTAAAAATCAAGGCTGTTCCCCTTCAGGTTTCCCAGTGGGCAGACTCCCAAACACTCCCTGTCCCCGCCAGGTCTCTTTTTAAACTACGACAATGGTTTGGCCTTTTATATCCTGCTTCGTCTCCCATCAAGCCTTGCCCTCAGGCCTGCAAATCTAATAGTGCCTGAACTACAAGTCCCAGAATTCCCTTGATATAGCTCTGGAACTGTGAACAGTGGTGGATGGTGCCCGCCCTTGGAGGGCCAGCACGCTCTGTTACAAAGAGTATGGCAAAGACACTTGGCTCTGGAGCAGAGGGGTGTTTTGTAATTGGAAGAGCTTGCTAGGGCAAGGCCACCCTCCCTCTAGTCTCAAACAGTTCCCAGTCAGCCACATGGTAATAACATGTTTTCCTTTCCTCCTCTCTGCACGCAGATGTTACACAGGAGCCAGCTATTCTCATGGTTAATGAAGGAGAGTCAGTCAACATAACCTGCTCCGTTACTACCAAGGGGATGCTAGTAGGGATGTATTTGAAAAAAGAAGTTGTAAATGCCATGGAAGTGCTATACATCACAAATAATGGTCATAACCGTACCATAGACTTTCGCTACAAAGACCGCATCGAGATCTCCGTTCTCCAGACAGATGTGAGGATAACGCTGCACCAGTTGCAGAAAAATGACACTGGTTTATATGTCTGTAGAGGGAGTGTTCTAGAAAATTACGAGCCCAATTGTGTGTCAAGCCAAGGCACCATATTGATGGTGAAAGGTATTGTATGTTTTTCTATTTTTTTTAAGTGTAAATCAAATGGGTGTTTATTTTCAGTTGAAAGGGCTGAGGAAGTGTAGAACATTAACTGAATGGTTATGTGTTTCAGTATATTAGCACAGCCAAGGATGAGTTTATGGAGGGAAGGAATCTTCTTAAAGTTATGTGTTTTTTCCTATATACAAACCATAACTTTTTGATCTGAAGACAACAAGAAAGAACAAAAGTAAAGTCCACATGTGAGAGTCCAGTGTGTGTCTCATCTATAACAGGCTGCAGCAAGTCTGAAGGTGAAATGGTTGCTCTTTCTGCATTGAACAGATTTCTTTGACATGTAAACAGGCAATACACAGGAAACAAAGGCATCATAGTTTTATAGCTCCAGACACCACAGTTATTCCCTCCCAAATTTGCTCTTCAGCCTTAAAATTTAAATGTAACCCCCATTGCCTTCCCAGGTTACTTGGGACTAAGCAACTCTCTCCTGTGGTCTGGGTGCCTATGGTCATTAAGGATAATGGAAATCCTGGGGGTCCCAGCTGAGGTGGAGAATTAGGTGGGAATCTTCTAGTCCCCCATCTGTAGTAGTCCTCTTAGGTCTATGAATACTTATAGTTTGCAGTGCCTCCATCTGGACAGGCACTGTATACACCTGTGGATCTCAAACTTTTATACTGGTGACCCCTTTCACGTAGCAAGCCTCTGAGTGTGACCCCCCCCCTTATAAATTAAAAACACTTTTAAATATATTTAACACCATTATAAATGCTGGAGAAAAAGCAGGGTTTGGGGTGGAGACTGACACCTCGCAATCCCCCATGTAGTAACCTTGTAACCCCCCTGAGGGGTCCCAACCCCCAGTTTGAGAGCCCCTGATATACACCTGTGGGCGTAGCTAGGTCACCTCCAGGAACAAAAATGTAAATAATGGCAATAAACACTCCAATGGCAATAAACACAATTCTACTTATCCTAACACACACTAGAACATGCAACAGACTGTGATAGGTTAAGTTGTTATATCTATGCCACGTTAGTAGGGGCTGCTGCCATCGCTCAGCTAATGGCTGCAACTTTCAACAGCAAGTTGCAACATAAACTTAACCAACACTCATGTGGCATTATACCCAGATCCACCCCAGCCCTGAGCGCACACTCTGCCTTAAGCTTATATAGTCCTGGGCTCTCTCTTGTGCAGGTGCTGAATGAGCAGGAGTTCAGGCCAGCACTTTGTAAGGACCGCAAAGCAGTCCAGGTGAACCAAGGAGTGAGGCAGTTTTGTATTGTGACCAGCTTAGGTTGCACAGTATTAGCCGGCAGTACTGGTTGTTATATTAGAGAGCAATAGCCCAGGCGTAACTTGCTCTTTCCTCAATTGTCTGTAAGCCAAATTCAGACCTGCTGCATCACTGAGGCTAGGTCTACACTACGGGGGAGGGGGGGTCGACCTAAGATACGCAACTTCAGCTACGTGAATAGTGTAGCTGAAGTTGCGTATTTTAGGTCGACTTACCTGGCTGTGAGGACGGCGGCGAGTCGACCGCTGCCGCTCCGCCGTCGACTCCGCTTCCGCTTCTTGCCGCGGTGGATTTCTGGAGTCGACAGCAGAGCGATCAGGGATCGATTTTATCGCATCTTCACTAGACGCGATAAGTCGATCCCCAATAGATCGATTGCTACCCGCCGATCCGGCGGGTAGTGAAGACGTGCCCTGAGTTTCCAGCTTCTGCTCCCAATGCCTAGCTGTGGAGACGGAGCCCATGAGCGAGGACTCAGTGAGCGCTAACAAGTTGTCAGCTGCAGTTTAGTCTTAACCCTGCTTGTGTGTCTTCAACCCCGGCAAGAACAACAGGTCTCGGTTACGGTGTCTCCTGGGCCCAGACCCAGCCACTGCCCTCTGCAGCAGTCCAGTCCCAGAGGTGGCCCACTACTGCATCATGGACCTTGCAGTCCTTCAAAGCCAACACATACGCAGAGCTCTGTCTAATCAGGGGAGCTCTGAAAGGATTCAGAGGCGTCTCAGATAGGTGTGCCTACATAAAATATTAAGTCTAAAGCGTTTGTGAGGAATCTGTCCCTTTTGGGAGTTGTATCAAGGACTCTCAGATTCCAGTGCTGCAACTTTGCCTCTTGCACAAAGCTAAAAGATCACCTGTTTGTCAGTAATAATGCTAAAATAAAAAAAAATGGAGATATACATATTTCATAGAACTAGAAGGGACCCTGAAATGTCATCAAGTCCGGCCCTCTGCCTTCACTAGCAGGACCAAGTACTGATTTTGCCCCAGATCCCTAAGTGGCCCCCTCAAGGATTGAGCTCACAACGCTGGGTTTAGCAGGCTAATGCTCCAACCACTGAACTATCCCTCCCCACAGTTAATTTCTTGCCACCACTAGGACAAGACAAATACAGCAGCAGATACTCATACTATGGGTAAATATTGGGTCTCAAGTCCCACATCCTCCCTTGGGACTTATAAGGAACAGAGGAGTTTGAAACCTATGACCTTCAACTGTAGTTTTAAGGGAAAGTGATGTAACAGTTCTTCCCGGTGGCAGAGTCACCCTTACATTCCTTTATACTATATCCTGGTGACACCACATTTTCTTAAAAAGCAAGATGGATAACGTCATTCCCACTGGTAACATTCACCCAGGATGCTGCTCCCGACGCCAAGATTGCCCAACAGAACAGGGAAGTCTGGTTACCTCTTTTCAAAGACCTACATGACATAGAGGACACCTCCCCTCGATCAACTTATTCCCACAGTCTCGCGCTGGTTTTCTATTGATATACTGCTTCTGTTCTGCCCTTTCAGCTTCCACTTAAACACGTGGAACCACCTGCTCTGTTCCACAAAGGATGATAATTCCCACAACCATTTTTGCAGTACCAGACAGTACAAAGCACTACTCTCCCCTGCAGAGCGACATAACATGTTCCTCACATGAAATCATAATTCTGCTTCTCCTCTGATAAATCACCCACAGAAATGGAGCAGGCAGAGTGCCACGTGGCTTCCTGGATGCCCTATGTTCTGTCCTTCATGGCTTTGATCTTGGTTTCTGCGCTGGGATACCTCATTCTGTCTCACATAGATGTAAGTATGTCATTCGGCCACAGCCGCAAAGTTTTCCGCACTTCTGACCCTGCAGCTAGGAGTCATCCCCAAGCACAACCATGCCTGTTAAAGTACTGTGCACATAAAACATTGTGGAGCCATAAGACATGCATATGATAAACGTCTCTGACCATGTGCATCTTCTATTGTCCCTTTGTTCTTCCATCCCCACTGCTCCCATCCCGTTGTGTGCTGACATCCCCTGGTGTCAGGACTACATGTAGACTGTAAATCGCTGAAGGAGGGGCTGCCGCTTCTATCATGTCTGTACAGCCCCAAGCTCATTTTCAGGCTCTATTATAATATAATAATAATTTCTTAGAGAGGAGGAGGAAAGCATGAGCCAGCCGCCAAACCCCCCCCCCCCCCGCTTTGCCTATGGACCTTGATGTGGTAACTGCATTGAAGTCCCACCATTCTGCAGTTGCCCTTCTCACTGAAGAATGGCATCTCAACAAGCCCCCTGTTGGGATGGACGAGAGGGATGTCCCCTTCTTGCGGTGTTCTGGGGGAGATCAGGGACACCGCAAGTCATGAAGAAGCCCAGTGTCAGAGGGTAGCACAAGCATGTGTCCCTGTCATATCCTGACAATAAAGCTGCCTGAGATGGCTTGTGCAGAAAAGCCTCTTTGGAAATGGGCTGTGACTGACACACACACTCACCTCCCATGCCCTGCATGTTTATTTAGGAGAGTCATTTCAAACTGTAGAACAGGATTGGATGAAAGCCTTGCTCTGGGCCTCCTCCTAACGAGTTTACCAGGTACTGCAGTACAATGATGCCAGCGAGCCTCTCCTAAGGAAGCCATGTCTCCTCTTGCAATAATTACAAGACAATTGGCCAAAGTGGTTGCAGTCATTGATACTTTCAGCCCTCTAAAGAGCTGCTGGTGGAAGAGCCTGTATGAATTTTGGGGATTAACCCAGCCCTTTCTGCCTGTTACTCTATGTAGTCCCTTTGGGCTACGAGAAGGACTGTTTTGTTATCTCTGCTCGCAACTCCCTGCACACTGAGATGAGACCAGCTCCTTGGCAGGGGTTCTGCTCCAGCCCTAGACCTGAATGGCTGCCTGAGTGTTTGGTTTTTTGTTTGTTTTTTTGCAGATCAAGAAACACTGCCAAGAAGGAAAGGAAAAGCAAGCAAATATAGTGTACGAAGACATGTCCTACACCCTTAGGCTCAACAACTTGGCCACAGTCAACCCTTATAACAATTGTTAGCAAGCTCTTGCTAGCTGAGGCGGTGTGGACATCAGCAGCTCCTTCTCCACGTGCTTGAGCTAGAAAGGCTGACATCTGACAATCATTCCCTTTAGAGAAAAGAAAAAAATATCTGCCTTGTGTCCTGTGCAATATTTCTGCTTATTTCACTCAATTGTGAAGACCACTTTGCAGGGAGGGAAGGGGGGCAGGGAGGTTACTTTCAGAAAATGTAGAGAAATGAGTGCATCCCTGAACGTGTGAGTGTGTGTGCTGGGGAAGGCGGTGTTAGATACTGTGGTGTATAGTCGACTTGATGCAACACCTGCCCTTGTTCCTCCCGTTAGTGATGATCACACCTCCCAATGAAGCATGTGAGAGAAGTTGTATTGGGAGCACGGAGAGGCACTCAGGCCCAGATCCACAAAGGGACTTAGGCACCTCAACCCACACAGGCACCTCTAAGTCCCGGTTTAGGTGCTACTGAGATCCACAAAACCTAAACAAGCTCAGCGCCTTATTTTGCAGTAAAAATTCCCTGGGCATCTAAGTTCCTCTGGGCAAGGGCGCACCTGTCTCCCTCTTGGTGTCTGGCCACCTAAGCCCCAGAGCAATCCAAGAACCAAGGGAAGAGGTACTCCTCCACCTATCTTGCCTATGGGGCCTGATCCAATAGGCACGCTCAGACCTTACCTATGGATTGGGGCCCATTGAAAATCTAGTTGGAGGAAAGTGGTGGTGCTGCTGTTGGTGCCTATTTTATAATGTTCAGTCACTGACTATCCCACAGGAATGAAGTTGGACCTACAGTGTATATGACTGGTCTTGCTTTAGGGTAATAGCCAGATGGCTGGGATTCTTGCATTAAATTCAGGAAATGGTGAGGTTATCAGGCCCATGCCATCATGTCTTTGTGCGGAGACAGAAGCTGCTGTCCCTCTTTCTGGCTCTTTGTTTGTTTAATGTAGGTTATTACACAACACAGCTCAGTAAACCCACCTCAGTGATGCTGCACTGTACAATGACTTTCAAAATACCCTGGAGGGTCAGCTAACCTGGGCCACAATCAGTAGCTAGACATCTGACCAGGGAGTGGATGAGCCTGGGCCAAAATCACTCTGAAATATTTACCTTTCTCTTGGTAACATGAGTTTGAAAACTCAGTGTGGTGAGTAAAAAACTACATTAGCTCTGTAATGGCTTATATATATCTGTTCATTGGTTAGCAGGGAAGGATTTAATCCTCTTTCTCTCTGGCTAGAGGGTAGACCACAGCTGTCTGCCCTGAGTGCAGGGAGATCCAGAGTTAGCCCAGCTGTGGTGAATTAATTAATTACCCCCAGCCCCAGCACAGTATAAAACAGGGGAAGTGGGCCTGATATTTGTTATTGGATTCAGGGTGTTTAGGAAGGAAGTTAGTGAAGGAAAAGGTTCTTTAAAGTTAAAATTTTGCATTTTATTTGACTGAGGGACACTGTCTTGTATTTGATTTGCAAAGGGGACAAGATATTCTTTATCTTGGGGGTATACTTTGCCTTTGCCTACTTTGCATTATAAAGTTGTTCAAAGTGCACCAGTCCCCTTTCTCAGTTGGTACTGTGGGTGCTTAGCGCTTCTGAGAACTGGACGTGAGGTGTCCCAACTTGAGCAGCCCCAATCAGGCTGCTTCTGCAAACCTTGGCTTGAGTATCTCTGTTGTAACCACAGAACGATGCACAATAGTGTGTGTGTGTGTGTGTAAATCTCCTAGCTATTGAAGACAGAAGGTCCTTTTTCCCCCCCTTGTTGACAGGAAATATTGTGGTGAGTAATCTAGAAGGTGCTAAGCAAAGAGATTGTGAGATGTTAAGGAGGGGAGAGGGTACTGAGAGGGCTTTTGGTTCTGTAACACTCTGTAACTACAACAGAGTGGCTGATTGAATTAGTGTCTCATCAAAGATATTCCTGTTTTGTCACTTTTGCATGAGTAGCTTATTGAATATCCAGTATATTATTGCATGGCTGTAGTCAGCATGCTGTACTCACATATCTGCAATATTCATTTGTATGTGGGTTATGTTTCTGTCAGCTCAGATCCTGTAATCCTTGCCCAGGCAGAGCTCCTGTTGCATTCACTGGAAGTTTTCCCTGAGTAAGGACTACAGAACTGGGTCCATAATGTTTTACTGTGTAATTGTTGGAAAAATCCAAATCCATAGGTCAAACTTTACATGTGTATGAAATGCTAAATGCACATTTATGAAGAGGGCTTTGCACATTTCTTTTTGTATCCACATTTTTTTTTTCATTTTTTGTCTTTTCATGTTCTTTACAAATAAACATTATAGATACTGAAGGGACGCTGTCTTGTAATGTTTGGTTTTACTTTCGGGCTACTTTGGAGGTTTCCTGCAAAGCACAGCAAAATCTGTAGCAGACACTGCCTCTAACACTCAGTTCCCACTCAGCATGGGAAAATAGCGTCCAGTACATGTTTTTCAATTTAGAGTAAATTGGTGAAGAAACTTGGGGGGAGGATCTGCTCACCTTCTGAGTGCAGCTTTTACCTGCTTAAGCAAAAAATATCAAATATCAAGTTGATGAAGAGGGGAAGAAATACAATAGTCAACTACAATTTTGCATGACCTTTGAATAACCAGACTAAGAGGTTGCTTAGAACACTTTTCATTGTATTTTGCTGGATTCTGACTACCATAGATACAGTAACTCCTCACTTAAATTTGTCCCAGTTAACGTTATGTTGCTGATCAATTAGAGAACATGTTCATTTAAAGTTGCGCAATGCTCCCTTATAACATTGTTTGGCACTAGCCTGCTTTGTCTACTGCTTGCAGAAAGAGCAGCACGTTGGAGCTAGCCGATGGCGGGGGGGCTTGGAACCAGGGTGGACCAGAAGCCCCACTATTAGCTCCCCACTCCTGTAAGTTCCCTGTGCCACAGCCCCCAGCAGGCTACCAATTGCTGGGCAGTTCAGCTGCTCCTTCCCTCTGCCTTAGAGCTGCTCCTGGGAGCATCCTGCCTGCTTGGGGGGAGGGATAGCTCAGTGGTTTGAGCATTGGCCTGCTAAACCCAGGGTTGTGAGTTCAATCCTTGAGGGGGCCACTTGGGGATCTGGGGCAAAATCAGTACTTGGTCCTGCTAGTGAAGGCAGGGGGCTGGACTCGATGACCTTTCAAGGTCCCTTCCAGTTCTAGGAGATAGGATATCTCCTTTCATTTCTGTGCGGGGGTGGAAAAGAGGGGTGCTAATGTCTGGCTCTCCCCCTGCTCCTGCCCCCCATCTCCATACAGCAGGACAGGGGCTCAGGAGGATGGAGGGAGTTTGCTGGCAGCAGCTGCTGCCTCAAACTTGCTGATCTGCTTAAAAAGGCAGTGTACTTAGAGTGGGGTCAGCATACTTAAAGGGGCAATGCACATCTCTCTCTCTGTCTCTCTTTCTCTGCCATGCTGTCTTCCCTCCCTCCATTCATGCTGCCTTGTAGAATGTGAGGCTACATTAACAACCATGTTTTAACCCTTGAAGGCTCAGCTGAGTGCTAGTTCATCGTTTAGCAGTAAGGCATTCCCTGGGAAATATCTCACCCTCTGCCTTCACTATCTCAACCAAGCTTCACAATCATCATTGCTGTGTACCGTATTAAATTGTTTAAAACTTATACTGAGTGTGTGTGTATGTATATGTATATACACACTGTCTTTTGTCTGGCAAAAAAAAAAATTCCCTGGAACCTAACCCCCCATTTACATTTAATTCTTATAGGGAAATGGGATTCACTTAACATCATTTGCTTAAAGTAGCATTTTTCAGGACCATAACTACAACATTAAGCGAGGTGTTACTGTTCTCTGTAATCAGTACTGGCTTTTGCTGGTCTTCTGCTGGGCCAGACTATTACTGGGAGGTTGGTTCTCATATATCCACATTGCTGTGCACATCTTGACAATATTGGGTTTGTTCTTGTTGCTTGTAAATTGCCAATAAAATATTCATAAAAGCAAAGCTGTTACGCATGCTCTATGCCATCCCACATACAGCTGAGGACCCCAGTTCATGTAATAAAAGTTCAGAAAGTTTGATCCATTTGTTATTAGCCTTGGTGTAAATAGGCGATACAAGATGTTTTATAGAACCTGAGCCCAAGATGTGATCATGAATACACTTTTGGTGTTGAGACCAATTGAACATTTCTACTGCAAATAACTTACAGTTATGACTGTCAGTGAGCTAGCAGCAGGGCTGTGGACAGAGATCACTCGAGCACTATTACCAGTGTCCAAACATTAGAAAGATGTGTGGTTTTACAGATTCATTGGTCCCTGACTGTCCCTAAAACACTTAAAAAGCTGAGCTAGTACCAATGTAGCTGATCAGCAACGGGGAATGGCAGTGTCACCTCCCTCTGTCCAGCACTGACTGATATGTTTTGCATGATACATATTTTTCAGAGAATCATAGTCCCTAGCTTTGTAAATGACTGCTACAACTTTGTCTCCTAGGTAGTACTAAGCAGGGTGATGGTTATGGGGTGCTCTGTTAACATATAGGGCCAAACTCTGTTGCAGCTGTGTGAATCCAGATGTACCCCAGATGGCAGGGGCAGTTTGCTGTATAGCACACACTTTACAGCTGCCACCAAAAGGAGCAGCATGGTTTCCTCTAGCACCTACTGCTTAGTACATGGGAGTCTGGAGCCCTAGCTGTACCTGTAAACAAATAGACAGTGTCCCCTTGCAGGGTCAGAGTGTGTTAGCCAAGCACGTGTCCCTCAGCACTGTCTAGTGCATGAAGCTGGAATCCTGTGTTGCAGCCCTATAAATACACTGGATGGGCAGAAGGAGAAGCTCCCTGCATGTTGTTCTTTACCCAATGATTATGCCTGAAAGAGAACATGATTTTACCCTGTGTGATAATCTCGTCATCCATCACTGAAATGCAGCCACCTCTGGGGTGGAACACGGTAACTTTATAGCAGTGTAAAGGAGAAGCACCATATGGCAGTTTAGGATAGAATGTAAAGAGAAAGTCAGAAAGGTAAGGAACCCATTGTCTGTTACCAAAGAGGTAAAGTTGGACAAATAGCTGCTGGGATTTGCTCTGAGATTGATTTTGCAGCTTGTAGAAATACAGACCGAGCCTTACGAACATTCATGTGCACTGTCCTTACACAGTGCGCTAGCCGGGGCTTTGTGCAGAAAGCCTCTTACAAGAACCATCCCTCTAATGTCGGACAGGCCTCAGATCAGCCCTTGGGCTCTGCGCAGGGGGACTGACATAGCAACCCTTCTGATTTACAGAAGTGAGAAGTAAAACCAAGACCCCAGGGGAACCAGGACCTCAGTGAGCCTGATCTTCAAAACACGCCTGGGTGAGGTAAAGGAGGGAGCTAATGAACCCCACACCAAGGCTGATGGGAGAGGAGAATATGCCATAACCAGTGGGGGCCAGCTGTTTTTCTACACCAGTCTCAAAGCCTCCCCTCCCCCCGGCCTGTCTGATGTGATTCCCAGAAGTGACACTTCTGTTAGTGTGTACAATGCAGTGATGGCCTCGGCCTACCCAGATAGATAGGGGGCACCTGATGTCTGAGGAGGATCCATGAAGAGTCCCGGGGCACTTGGCTTCATGACCTCTCAAGCGGAAACTGCTTTTCATAAAGGAAGCATGTTCCTGTGGAGGTTGGTGGGGCTCTTGAGCCATGGACCCCCTTGTAAACGTGACATGTGAGAACAAGTTCATCTGACCCTGAGGCCAGACAGGCCTTCATCTGAGATGAATGGTGATGTGCAGCCAATCACGTGACAAGGAGAATTCCACAAAAACGTTCCCCTTCCTGCCTTAGCGCAGGGCAAACCCAGTGTCTCAGGAGTGCTTGGGCCGGAGAGAGGAGGAGTGCAGGGCTGGGGAATCTATCACTGGGTGTTCCCATTGGAACAAGACTGCTCTCTCACTACCAGAATCAAAGAGGGAGGCAGCAGCAAAGAGCAAACAGGCTTGCCGTATGGGCCACACGCTGGCAGCGTTTATAGTTTGTTCCTGAGGAACATGAGGTATAGCACAATGGAGTGTTGGGTAGTGAGGAAGCATGGGCCAACGGGCAGGGCAATCGCTTAGGACTTGAGAGACCTTGGTTCAAGTCCCGGTGCTTGGCCACAGGCTTCCTTACTGTCCCACAGCAAATGGCTCTTACAAAACTACTCAAAATAGTTAAGTCCCAAGCACACTGTGAAGAGCTACAAAAGGATCTCTCAAAACTGGGTGACTGGGCAACAAAATAGCAGATGAAATTCAATGTTGATAAATGCAAAGTAATGCACATTGGGAAAATATAATCACAACTATACATATAAAATGATGGGGTCTAAATTAGCTGTTACTACTCAAGAAAGAGGTCTTGGAGTCATTGTGGATAGTTCTCTGAAAACATCCACTCAATGTGCAGCGGCAGTCAAAAAAGTGAACAGAATATTGGGAATCATTAAGAAAGGGATAAATAATAAGTCAGAAAATATCACATTGCTGCTATATAAATCCATAGTATGCCCACATCTTGAATACTGCGTGCAGATGTGGTCAACCATTCTCAAAAAAGATATATTGAATTGGAAAAGGTTCTGAAAAGGGCAACAAAAACTATTAGGGGTATGGAACAGCTGCCATATGAGGAGAGATTAATTAAACTGGGACTTGTCAGCTTGGAAAAAAGATGACTAAGGGGAGATATGATAGAGATCCATAAAATCATGACTGATGTGGAGAAGGTAAATAAGTGTTATTTACTCTTTCTCATAACACAAGACCTAGGGGTCACCCAATGAAATTAATAGGCAGCAGGTTTAAAACAAACAAAAGGAAGTATTTTTTTCACACAACGCACAGTCAACCTGCGGAATTCCTTGCCAGAGGATGTTGTGCATCATTGGCCTCTCCTGTCTTTATCTATTGATCTAACCCGACTAGAGCATCCTTCCTGTGACATGGGTGGAAGCAGGAAACTCACACACTGCGGTGATTCATTACAAGATTTCAAAGTTTTTCCATTTAAGGAATGGACAAACTAACCCAAGTTGTTACCAGCTGAATTTAAACACTTCCCCCTAAATGTAACATGGAAACCCTGCCCCTGTGGTCCCTGTGCTGTGTGGAGTTGGGTGCCCCGGCACCTGCCTGGGCAGGTGTCAGTGGAGTGCCCACACAGCCTCCAGCTGAGTTAAGCAATAGACATACTCTCTGCACTGAGCTCTAGTGAGCCTTGCTCTCTCCTGCTCCTACTGCACAGCAAAGCTCCCTCAACTGCAGAGGGCAACTCCTTTGTAGTTCCTTCCTTCCTTCCTTCCT